TTGCACTTCCATCAACAGTTTATTTCAGCCCCCTCAAGAGAAGTTGCATCGGGTTAAAGCACAGTTTTGCTGGCATAGCTACGACACTAGGACGGCTTTACTGGTAGTGGCAAAGCATTCCTAGTGCACACCTGGCCTGTAGAGGGTTTGATTCTGCATGTGCGCACCCAAAATGCCTTTTTAAGTTAAAGAGGGATTTGGATACTCAAGAAATACAGAACTGGGCCCCAAATCCCATGTAAAACAGTTTCATCTGAACATTGCAATGCTGTTGAATAACACAATGAGAAAATTCAGGCATCATTGCTAATCAGAACACTCTGCAGAGCGCTTTGAGATCCTGTGCTGGAAAAAGCGACAAGAATTAAGAATTAAGTCTGAGATCTAATTTGTTCAGGAGTAGATATAAAGTCCTTCAAGCACAGGTGGGTGTTAGGTGGGACTGAAACGCTAACTGTTCCCTGCTATTTTGAAGCCAAGCATATGAAAGTTAAGCAGCTTTTCTTATAAAATCTGCAGGTAGTTTGTGTCTGTGCGGTGCCTCTTCTGTTACATTTGGCTGTTGCCAATTCAAGTAGGACTTTCTGTGGTCTGAAATCCTTGCTAACTAGTGCTCTCTAGTGGCACTACCTTCCTTTCGGGCAGTTTGGATTCCCATGGACCGGAAGGAAAAAATACATGTTTTGTATCTGATTTTAAAACAAATGCCCCCTCTGTCCTATCTTTTACATTAAGGAGATATTTAATGAATTTAATTTAATAATTAAGGGGATTAAGAAATCCCCCAGGATTTCTTTCCAATGAACTGACAATGTGCCTTTTAGGCTACCTGGCCTGTTGAGATGCATTTCATATCTATTTCAGTAAAATTTAATAGCATTCTACACAGTGGGTTTAAAAAAACGAAAACAAACACAGCTGGAAATTCCTCTCCAAGGATGATTCTTATTATCATCTGAGACTTTCAAGCCCCTGCTCTGAAACATGCCAAATTGCTGCACATAATGAAGACTCCACACCTTCATCAGCTTGGATTCCTATTTACACTGTATGGATATTTCAGTTTTTCTGAGTCTTTCTTTAATGTTTGAAAGTCCTTCCCCTATCTGCTTTTTGGGTTTCAGATGAGACAAGAAAAAAAAATGCCAATGTACTACAAAGAGAAGTTGTGTAAAAATATCTGGCTCCTTCAGAATCAGGAAGCACCAGGAACATAGAAATTGCCAGACTGAATCATCCAATCCAATTTTGTCTGGAACTAGCCTCTATTAGACATCTCAGAGGATGTGCAAGAACCCCAAAATAGGCAGCTGTGTTATAAACTGGTCCCACCAAGGTGTTATTTTATGGCATACGGAATGGTTTAAAACCTGAAGGGTCTCATCCAAAGCTGTGTTTGCATTAACTGTTATAACACTGGAGATTCTTGTTATATTCTGTTCCTCTGTGAATCTAAATTCTAAACCTCAGTCACATCATGTGGCAATGAGTGCATTCATTCATTCTTGCAAGATTTCTTGTACAAATGCTGGGCAAGCATCCATATTTTATGGTGCTACATCAGGCCCAGTTTCAGAAAGCAGTATGTTCCTATATCATCATACTCAACATTTAGTTTTGGATCCAAATCTGGATTTCAGATCCTCCTGCCACTGTAGTAATAGAGCTGTCAGATTTGGATCAGCCCATACCGGAGATAAAAACCAGCTGTGAAATTCAAATACAAAACTCCACCATTGTTTGGTTCAGGCCTATCACTAGACAACACTAACCTGGAAAATAATAGGGCAGTTTGGGGATTCCAGTGCTCCTACCATATAACCCATAACTAGAGCCAGGATTACAGGGGGCCTTCCTGCCCCACATTATGGGTTATACAGTCTTGCCTCAGTTTACCCTCCTCAGAATCAAGCTTTTAGTTCCCGAGCATCTTTCCCTCAGAAAAAAACAAAACAAACTTCCTTTCATTGTTCTCTCAACTCAAATCACCTTATCCTAGATTGGGGTGTATCTGTACTAGCCTCCTGGAATATATTGATGTAAATATCTAGTGCTTAGTATTTCTTAGGAGTGCCTGTGTTTTAGCAACACTAGCAGCAGCTTTGCCAAGTTCACGTACCAGACCGTGAACGTGTAGGCCTCTGCCCTAGTGCCTGGCTTGACTTTGGTTCACAGCCTGTGGGGCAGGCTTCAGGTCCTGCACTAGGCCGGAGAGCTCCAGGCTCTCTGCCACTCTCTGCTAAAGGACTTCTCTCCCTGTCGCTGCTGGCCCCATCAAGTTCCTGTTGACGTGGGTATGTGGCATCTTTAAGTCCGGAAACTGATGAGCGCTGTGGAAGTGCCACAGTGGCACCCCCCATTCGGGCTCCCGGTTCCACTTGAAGGAGTTGTGCCTTTGCTACCTCAAGCCACAAAACAAGAGTGATGCCTTTTCTACACAGGAGGGGTCAAAAATCAACTCTCACGGCCCCTCGCGCCAAAACCGTAATTGTGTCGCTACCAAACCGTGTGTAGATGTACTCGTTTCAGGGGAGGAAACAACAAAAAGGAGCTAATTTCGTTAGCTAAGTTGGTCAAAGTTTTGCCATCCGTCACTTTTATTCAGAAAGAAGAGTGGTCACACAATGATTTGAGCCAAAATAACCCAACTGACTTCTAGAAAATAGGTTTTGTTCTATTGGTACAAGCTGATGGATCATTTGATCTCTGACTGACATTGGTGTGATTTCTCAGCACCCACACTGGCATTATTACTCTGCATTTCTTTGGCTAAAACAGAGATCCAGAGAATCAGGCCTCCCAAAATCCCAAAATTGTTTCTTAAAGATTGAGATTTTAATTTATTTTTCTCCAGCTTTTAGGGCTCAGGGGTTTCAAAGTTTTCTCCGTGGCTGCAAGAACTAGAAATGTATTTACAAATGAAATCAGATGATCCTGTTATTACATGATTCCCACAGATGGGGCTTGAAGGCAAAGACACCAAATATCAAGAGACTCATGCTAAAATTACAAGAGTTGTCCACACTGACAGCGGCTGGCTTACCTCAGCTGCAGTCCCTTGCTGTCTCTTCTCATTCTCGAGGCAGGATATGCCATTACATTAATGTGCAGTGGTTCCCTCACAATTGCTAGATGGGGTTCCCGAGAGAGACAAGAGCCGCCTTTCTCTAGGAACAAGCAGGCTCCAGTTGCCTGGAAACTATTCCTTCCTTTAATTAAAAAGGAAGCAAGAAAAGCCAAGTTTCAGAGCCTGCTTCCACCTCCCTTGCCACCCGCTCTGTCTTGTTGCAAGGAGAACAGATTTGCTACTCGCAGCCACATTGCAAGCAGAAAACGCACCCCGACAAATCGGAATGGCTCTAGACGTCAGCCACACCAAAGTCGTCTGAGCTCCCGTCCTGGCACAAAGCCACAAAACAGAGCGTCAATGCACAGCTGAGAACGGACACCTCATTTCACCCGTTCCTGGCCCATCCACAGGTGGTAAGAATACCGGTGATCTCCAGTCGGGGAGTGGACCAAGGGGGCCTGTTCCAGCATTTCTGGAGCTGAGAATGTAAGGCCCTTCCCCCTCCTCCACCTTGCACTGAGTACAGCTCAGTTGGTCCAACGCTCAGGCCCTGAGATTATTAGGAATATTAACGCCCTGAATATTAATTCCCAGGCCTGCTACCCTCCACGAGTGTGTCTATGCAGTGTCTGCAGCACAACACACCCCATTCTCCAAGCACTGAGCTGGCAGAGCACAGTGGAAACAAGGAATGCAGGGGCGGGCGCAAAGTTTACCAGACGTAGCAAACAGGGAAGACAAGGAACCTGTAGAAAGGAGGGGGACGTACAGAAGAGCTCTGCTCAGCATTTCACTGGAGCATGCACGGCCCCGCCCGAGCGAAGAGAGGCCGGCTCCACACGACCCATAACTCACCTTGATTACAGGTTTTATGGCTCTGCGTTCTTAAGGGCAAATCAACTCGCTGGGGGAGCAGTGGACCTTAAACTTTACCAATCACTGTTGTATCTGTGTGCTGATCTTTGGGAGCAGCTAATACGCTGGTGAAAGTACCTGGCCTGCCGTGGGGTGTTTCAAGAAGTGCCCTTTTTACTTTCTAGTTTGCCTGGATTTCACGTGAATACCTGGACAACCCCGCTGCTTCCCAGCTAGCATTGTTTCAGACTTTCAATGGACCGAAGCCTCTCTTCCCTGCCCCCGCCTAGAAGAAAAGCGATGTTGAAAAAGGTGAGCTCTTCCTCTATCGGTTAGAGAAGAGGCTGGGGGTGCAGCCTGGGGAAACTAAGGCTGAGAACATGAGAAGGCTGGCACACCGGTAATGTTCAAAGCCATTTCAAAGCACCTTTGGGTACGTTAGCAACATGGACGCTGTAGTCCAAGGTTTGCGTGTAACCAGCCACCACTGCGTCGGACAGACGACAGTGCATCTTTCTTTCGTTTCAGGGGAAACTTCTTTAGGATTATGTATTGCCTGTCGTGAATTGAGTGCACCGAGGAGAGCCAGCCCCAGCCTCAAAGACCCTTTGGGTTGAAAGAGAGGCAAGAACACCGTTGCACCCCAAAGCGCTGCTTGACCAGGAGCTGGGTTTACCACAGCGAGGGGGATCAGTGGGGCTTGCCTGGTACAGCAGGGCTTGAGAGAAGGACGGGGAAGGTTTTATCAGAACGCAGGGATCCGCCACAGATAAGACTCAGCCATCGAGAGTCCCAAGAGAATCTTGCAGTCCAACGAGAGTATTTCTAGGACTCATTTGTGTTCGAGATTTTTCTTTCAAGAACAAGGGCCCAGTCCTACTCCCCGTGGCTTGGGGGAGAATGGATCAGGCCCTACAATGGTACAGTCCAAGAACGTCTTTAGGCCTTGAAATGCCCCCGGCCCGTGTCCACCCTCCAAACCCAGGCTGATCTGCAGTTCAAAGTAAGCCTTAGCAATGACCATTTGTGTGCACTCAGCTGCCAGCTCTTCCTGTAAGACGTCTGTCCTGGTGCTTGAGGAAGATTTACACAGGCGTTGAGAGCAGGACGGGGCCCTTATTCTGGAAAAAAAAATCTTGAACCCAAATGAGTGACTTGACTGCAGAATTATTTTGGGACTCCTGAGGACTGGGTCGTATCTCTGGTGGATCCCTGTGGTGGATTCTTGCCTGGTTTTTGAAAGTCAATGAGAGTGGGGCACTTGTCTGCCATCGGTTCATTTGAAACTCAGGCGCAACCCTACAGATGTCCTAAGCCATCCCAACTAAAGTGTTTAAAAATAGGTACCTAAAATTAGTCTCCTAGGCCTGCACTGAGACATCTAAATCTAGAGGCCAGGATACTTACCCTGCAGAGCAACTGTGGAAGCAGCTGGGTACTTTCAAAAACCAGGCAGGTGCCTAAAAGATGGATTTTCGGAGTTTAACTTTAGGCTCCTATTTTTGAAGTCTCGGTCAAATGGGTGTTGAAAGGAAATGGCATCTTAACAGAAACCCATTTTTACTGGTGTATTTAGCTGCAGTGACCCATTTCGTTTAACTTATTTGCATATTCTGGCAGAACGTAAGAATGGCCATACAGGGTCCTTCTAGATCACTGTCCTGCCTCTGACAGTGGCCAATGTCAGAAGCATCAAAGTGAATGAACAGACCAGGGCAATTTTGGATGATCTGCCCCTGTCATCCAGTGTCACAGCCAGAGGTTTAGGAACACCTAGGCTGCGTCTAGACTGGCATGATTTTGCGCAAAAGCACCCATGAGTATTTGCAATAGAACACTGACTTTGTAATGTACAAAATCCGTGGTTCTTGCGCAAATACTCTGACGCTCTCGCTTAGGGACAAGCCCTCTTGCGCAAGTATTCTTGCACAAGAGGGCCAGTGTAGACAGCAATGTTAATTTCTTGCACAAGAAAGCCCGATGGCTAAAATGGCCATGGGAGCTTTCTTGCGCAAGAGAGCATCTACAGTGGCACGGATGCTTTTGCGCAAAGGCACATGCCAGTATAGACGCTCTCTTGCGCAAATACTTTTAACGGAAAAACTTTCATGCCAGTCTAGACGCAGCCCTAGAGCATGGGGTTGCAACCCTGACTATCTTGGAGGACAGTCATAGTTGGGCCCAGCCTCCATGAACTCATCTCATTCATACACTAGTTATGCTCTTTGGCCGTCACAGTGTCCTAGGGCAATGAGTTCCACAGGTTGACAGTGTGTTGCATGTGAGTTAGACAAGGCACATTACTGCATAGTTAAACCATCTATGCTGCCAGATGTATTGCTGCTTGAGAGTTTGTGAGAGTGAGGGAGAGAAATTGTATCAGCTTTAGCAGGATGTGGTTTTGATTTCAGTTACACATATTGGGGGCAGGATCCCCCACTGCCAAAAATAAATGTAGCTGTACTAAGGCCGCTAAGGCTACACCAGTTTACACCAGTTGAGGATCTAACCCTGCTGTTCTTAATCCAGTAGGCTGGGAGAAAGGGGGTTGATTTAGACAAAAAGCCCAGGTGTTGATGCAAGTATAACACACCTGCCACTGCAGTTATACTTACGGGCCCTGATCCTGCAAACACTTAGGCTATGTCTACGCTGGCAAGATTTTGCGCAAATACTTTTAACGCAAGAGTTTTTACGCTAAAAGTATTTGCGCAAGAGAGTGTCTACACTGGCATGTGCTTTTGCGCAAGAGATGTGCTTTTGCGCAAAAGCATCCACGCCAGTGTAGACGCTCTCTTGCGTAAGAAAGCTCCGATGGCCATTTTAGCCATCGGGCTTTCTTGCGCAAGAAATTGATGTTAACTGTCTACACTGGCCTCTTGCGCAAGATTGAGCGGGAGCATCATAGTTCTTGCGCAAGAAGCACTGATTTCACACATTAGAATGTCAGTGTTCTTGCGCAAGAACTCTCCGCCAGTGTAGATAGGCAGCATGTTTTTGCGTAAAAGTGTCCTCTTTTGCGTAAAATCATGCCAATGTAGATACAGCCACACAGACCTGGTTTTGTGAGACACAACCCACTAATTAAATGTTCATGTCATCAACTATATAATCAAGCATGGCTGGCTGCTTTACTTCCCCAGTACCTGCATTTGGTTTATTTATCTTTAAGCTGTCTGATTTTCAGGGCCTGTTTTTTGAAATTTGAGGTCTATGTACATGGCCTCAAAGCAGGAGTTTATAAGAGCTCCTTGCTATTGTCACAGGAAGATTTTTTTTTTTTTGCAGCGGGTGAGGGGGAAGGGATACTTCCCCAAATTCTTATCTAAACAGGATCTACAGTAGTCTCTCAGAGTTGCAAACACCAGAGTTACGAATTGGCCTATCAACCACATACCTCATTTGAAACCGGAAGTACGCAGTCAGGAAGCGGCAGAGACAAAAAACCAAGCCAAATCAGAAACACCCCAAACACAGTACAGCACTGTGTTGAACATAAACCACTATAAAAAAAAATAAGGCAGCATTTTTCTGCTGCATGGTTCAGTTTCAAAACTGCATGAAGTCGATATTCAATTGTAAACTTTAGAAAGGCCAACCGTAACGTTTTGTTCAGAGTTACAGCCAACCTCTATTCCTGAGATTTACTACTGAACTTCAATTTTTATGCGTATAAAAGAGGACTTGCATGCTAGGTTAGCCTTTGGAGCCTTGTTATTGAAAATCCTAGTTTAGCATTTGGTGCATTCCTTCCCCAGCGTGCTTTACTGAAGTCCTGTTGGAAACAGCATTACCTTGAAGTGCACTAGCAGGGTCTACCCAGAGCAATTAATGCACACTTTAGAAATCACCCCTCCCCCACCCCCGAGCTTGCATTATTGCTCCATGTAGATAAATCTTTAGAATCACAGAACATTACAACTGGAAGGGACCTCGAGAGGTCATCGAGTCCTGTCCCCTGCCCTCATGGCAGGACCAAGCACCATCTAGACCATCCCTGACAGGTGTCTGTCCAGCCTCCTCTTAAATATCTCCAGGGATGGAGATTCCACAACCTCCCTGGGCAATTTATTCCAGTGCTTACCCACCCTGACAGTTAGGAAGTTTTCCCGAATGTACCTGCTACAGTCCTCCTCTCTACCAGCCCAGTACTGCCCCCGTACTGTAGCAATAGCCTTAGAGTTAGACTCCCAGTATGGTTCTTTTAAGCACATTGAGCTTGATCCAGCTTATTGAGTGGGACAGGGTTGGAGAAGAATTAAACTGGAGCCATGCCTCCCACTACACTGTGTGGGAAATCAAGGCACGGGGCCTCGTGTACCCAGAGAATCAACTGAGCGCCCTAGAGCTCACTGCTTTCTGAATAGGGTTTTTTTTTCCCCTGGCAGAATATGGCCTCGAGAAGAACGCCACAGCAGGAGGCAGGGTCTTCCACAGAGCAGACCTACGTCTACAAGGTGGTTCTGCTGGGGACCACAGCTGTGGGAAAGTCAAGCCTCGCCTTCCGCTATGTGAAAAATGATTTCCGGGAATCCATGCCCACGGTGGGATGTGAGTGAGTAGCAGCAGTAAAGACATAAAGGGCCGGGCCGGTATCTCTCTTCAGTGGAGCTATGTCCGTGTAAAGTCTGGCTCTGTTTAAGCCACCATGCCTAGCAGAAACATGGCAGGTTGGCTTTGGGGCTGCATTCAGAACTCAGTCCTGGCAGCTCTGGGTTAGATGTGGCCCCCTAGTGGAATGTGAGGGAACAGAACCCCACCGCTGCCACCAGTGACTGGTTGGTTTGGTTCCTGTCTCCGGATGGCTCGCTGTGAAATAAGCAAGAGTCTGGGCCAGCGGTGCAGCTAATGTGCCTGTTTTAAAAGCTGGGCCTTTCCTGTTGCTGCTCTTTCTAGCTGGATCTTTAGGCACCTCAGAAACACTTCTGAAGAAGTTAAACCAGAGCATCTACCTCTTCATTGTGGTAAAGAGCTCTTTGAGTTCACTGGCAGGGAGAGAAACAGGAACTGCTGCACAGCTGTATCTGCTGCGGTGTTAGAGCGACATCTAGTGGCTTATTTCAAGTCTTGCCACATTTAAAGAGGGCTCTGCAAGGATCTTGTTATTACAAAGCATGGGGCTTGGGTGGCATTTGACCAGAATCTGCACTTCTGACTAGCCCAAGAGAGCATTTACCAGTTCTAGAGACTTTTCCCTTTGCAGCCTCTCCCCTCTTTCTCATGCTTTCCCCCCTGCTCCCACAGAAACACAACAGGTTGGACCTCCCTGGTCCGGCACCCTCGGGAGCTGATGGATCCCGGACAAGGGAGTTTGCTGGACTGGGGAGGTGAGGGCTCTCCCAGGAATGCTGGCCTCCCATCTGGTTCCCCTCCTGGCTGTCACCCTGCTCCTGGTCCCCAGTGGCAGCCAGCTTGGCTGTGCAGGGGCTGCAGGGCTGGCCTGGCTGTGCTCCAACCCTGGAGCTGGCTGGACTCTGCTGCCGGCTCCTTGCCAGACTCCCAGCCGACGGGGTGCTGCGGTCCTGCAGACCAGCAAGTCCCGGAGCAGAGAGGCTCCGCCTGTACCACTGCACAGCATTATCCATGGATTCATGCCAGTACCATTCATAGCACTCACTGCAGAAATGCTACCAAATTCTTACTCTCACTGCAGAATGGTGGCACACGTGCACCCTTGCATCTTAAGAAGTAGGGATGTGAAAGTGTAACCGTGTACACGGTTAGCCAATGAGCCTGGACTCACTGGTTAACCTTCATGGTTATACACAGGCAGGAGTGGCTTGAGGAGAGCTGCCGGCAGCTGGCGCCCCAGGCGGAATGCACAATTGGTGCTCCTACCTCCATAGCCCTCAATGGTATGATGTCATCATTGGGTGTCCCGGTGGACGCGGCACCCTAGGCAACTGCCGAGGTTGCCTGCATCCACGGGCTGCCCCTGTACGCAGGCTGCCTGCATGCACTGGCTCCTGTGAGCTGCCTGCCCTCCTGAGCTGCTGCCTCTGAATCAGAAGCAGCATCATGGTGGTTGGGGGGAAGAGGGCAGGCAGGAGCTAGCAAGTGCAGGGGCCTAGCATTCACTGGCTCCCAGCGAGCTGCCGGCCTCCCACCCTTTCTGTAAAATTTTTAGCAGTTACACATTTAGTCAGTTAAAACGCATTTTAACAGCCCTGCTAAAGTGTGTGTCGTATTGGCCTAACCCCATTCAGACTGGACTCTAAGCACGTCTAGATTGCAGGTTTCTTTTGGAAGAAGCTTTTCCAGAAGAGATCGTCCCCAAAAACTTCTTCCGAAAGAGAGCGTTCGCACTGCCAAAGCGCATCGAAAAAGCGATCTGCTTTTTAAAAGGATAGCATCCACACTGAATGAACACTATCTCGCAGGCAAGCTGGGATTACTATGCATGGAGTGGTCACCAGGGCACCTGTGCTTTTTCCTCTTCTTTTGAAAAAACTCCCTCTTCCGCATCCACACACGCCTTTCTCCGAAAGAGCGCATTCGGAAAAGGAGTTCTTCCTCGTAGAATGAGGTTTACCAATGTTGGAAAAACCCCTCTGTTCTTTCGATTTTCTTTCGAAAGAACACAATAGCAGTGTGGACATCAGTGGAGGGTTTTTTTTCGGAAAAACAGCTGTTTTTCAAACAAACCCTGCAGTTTAGTTTCACCCTAAGATATTACCTCACTTGCTCTAGTGAAACCACCCTGAACCCACATTAGTTGTTTTTAAAAAACAAACAGCAGCTTCTGAAAAATTATTACGATTTCATTGGTTTTTGGTTTTAACGTATTCTTTAAGAGTCCAATAAACCCTTTCCAAATGAATTTGGACAGCCGTCGTCCACACAAGTTATTTTCGATCAGGGTCAGCAACCTTTTCAAACCAAAGAGCCAGACTACATCACAATTCAGAACAAGTGGTCGACAAACAGCCCGTATAAGAACGCCCATTTGCATGACTGAAAACATACAACTTAATATTATGGATAATTGACATGATGATTAACAATAGCATCAACAAACTGTTGTACTCACAGACGTTGTTTCATGGGACGTCTGCTGATGCATCTTTTTGCACATTTCTTTGATGTTTACATCATAACTGGACAAATTCAGGTGCATGTGCACGTTCAAGCTACGTGAGTCATTACATGTTTTTTAAATTTTGATACAACTTTTCATTTTAATTTAAAAATGGTGTGTATTTTGGGAATGACGAAAGAGCCAGATTTGGTTCCATACTGAGCCATATTCGGCTCGAGTACCATAGGATGCAGACCTGTGCCCTAGATAAAGGTTAACATCTAATAACCGAGCATGCACCAGCCTTCTCAATGAGCTGCCCCTCTCGGTTGCTTTCAGGTTCTTTCTTCACCCAGCTGGTCTGCTTAGAGACCACCACAATGAAGCTCGAGATTTGGGACACTGCTGGCCAGGAGAAGTACCAGAGCGTTTGCCATCTTTATTACAGGGGGGCGAATGCTGCCCTTCTCGTATACGACATTACCCAAAAGGTTACCTCCTGCAGAAGCGTTCACCTGTAACTTTCTAAAACATGGGAGGGGGCAGATAGCTCAGTGGTTTGCGCATTGATCTACTAAACCCAGGGGTGTGAGTTCAGCCCTTGAGGGGGCTGTTTAGAGATCTGGGGCAAATCTGTCAGGGATGGTACTTGGTCCCGCCATGAGGGCAGGGGACTGGACTCGATGACCTCTCAAGGTCCCTTCCAATTCTAATGTTCTATGAAAATATGTGGACTGACTCTTGTTGCAAAGATGCTGCAGAAGTTCTGGTGCAGGGCAGCTTCCCAGAGCATGGCCGAATGTTTTGGCCAGGACGATTTTGTCCTGCACACGTGCCAGGTGTGTATGTACAGGCAGGCTCACCCTTCGTCTGTTGCTTGAAGACACACCAGGGGCTGGCGCAGACATTTCACCAACAGCGGATAAAAAGAGCACCTGCCATCACCCAGCGAGGAGACGGAGGGAATCCGAGAGTCCTACACTTACCTCTCCATACAATGCAGTGTGGGGTGGCACGCTGAGTAACGCTGGCCGTGAAGAACATGCCCCAGTCTGAATGGCTGCCTCTCTCCCTGCCCCAAGATCTCTCTATCTAGCCTCAACTCCCATCCCACCCCAACCACCAAGCCAGTGACAGAGAAACATCCCTAAGTGCTATTTGTCCCTCTGGCTTCACTCCCTGACCTCCAGTCATGGTAGTTACCCAGCGAGGAGACCTGAGGCTGCTGTAGAGTCTCACAGGAACAGAACTTCATGGACAAGGTGAACCAAGTTTTTAAGAAGCCCTGGCCTGTCGTGAAAAGAACCAAATCAGCTCAGCCCATCGTCTGTGCACTGGTTCTGTGACCCACTTGGGAGCAGTGGCTATTGGAGGAGCAGTTCTCCTCCTTCACGGCTGTGGGGAAGGAAGGACCTTCAGAGCTGTTGAGTAGCCCCCCTACAGTCACCCATCGGTCTCTACCACGGTTAGCCCAGCGTTGGCAAGCACCTTTGGGCCAGGCAGCTGTGGGTTTATTGTCTGTCTGACTCTCACCTTTCCAGGCAACTTTCGCAAGAGCAAAGCTGTGGCTGAGGGAATTGGAGAGGGAATTTCTTCACGACGAGATTGTGATCGTTTTAGTCGGCAATAAGACGGACCTTGCTGCTCAGCGGGAAGTGCCTTTGGAGGTAAGCGGCATCAATGCCAAATGCTGAGACTTTACGCTGGCTGCAGATTAATGTTCCCTCTATCTTTTTCTCCATCCGCGTGCAGAATAAATGTTATGTGCACCGAGGCATGTGTGGATGCGCACCACCAAGAGAAACACAGGCTGCCAGCTGTGGGTGCCCTGCTAATCTGTATACTGTAGCTGTGGTCCCCAACGCGGTGCCCATGGGTGCTATGGCGCCCGCCGGGGCATTTATGTGTGCCTGCTGAGTGATCGGGGCCATTCTTGCGCCCTAGGCCCCGGGTGCCTCGCACATGCGCGGCCTCGCCCCCAGACACACGGCGCATGAGCAGCCCCGCCCCCAGACATGAAGCGCATGAGTGGCTCTGCCCCCTGGACACCCGGCAGCCCCAAAAGGTTGGGGACCACTGTGTGGTGTATGATACAGTTATGCACCTGCCTTGATTCTGCAGTTTTAATGAGTTAACCCTTCTCCTCGCCCCCAACTTTGGACAAGATCTCGCTCTGAATAGGTCGGGTACAAACCAAATAGTCTGCCAGAATTCTGCCTCAACCCTCCACGAGCCAGTGTGTTTTAACCTTGTATCCACGGGGGGTTCCCGTGGGCTTCCAGTCAGAGAGCTGGTGTGGGGCTGGCAGTGGCGCAATACGGAAAACAAGCATGGCCTAAACCGTTTGTGCTGAGACCGCCCAGTGGAAGAGAAGGTGCTTCCTTTCCCCCCAGCCATTGGAGTGCAACGGTGGAACAAACGTCCGTGTACAGGAAAAGCACAAGCCGGGCGCAGGTTCTAGTGTGCACCTGTGCGTGGTGCACTCACCGACCCGGAAGGGCTCCGTGGAATGCACGGCCACGTCCCTAGGGTGCCTCGCACTGGCCTGTTGGAGCACAGCCCCCTGGAATGTACCCCCTGCGGTGCAGACAAGTGCCCCACACCGATGCGTCCCGCGCCTCGTGCGTGATTAGGTGGACAGTGCAAGTGGTGGAGCTAACAAGGGGGGTAACCAGGCTCTAAGCCGGTGGGCAGCATCCAGCTGAGAGATTTGTCTCAGCGCTGCCTTTGTAAATCGCTGGGGATTTCTGGAGTCTCCGCTTCCCACTTCTCCGCCACCAGCTGGACAGGGCAAGTGGGGATACCCCGGCTACACTAGAGTGTGTGTCTGCTCCCAGCTCACTCATCTCTTCTCCAGGTGGGCACGGCACGGCCCTCTCCACGTTGGCCGTGCCTGCGGTGGCTAATCATGAAGGCAGGAGCTGTGTCTACCTTGTGGGACAAGATTGGGAGCCTGGAACATGGAGCCCTTATTCCCATCCCCTTGCCAGAGGGTTACAGAGGGAGGTTGACCAAGTCAGATGTGACGACGGTGCAGAACATAGAATCCTAGCACACTAGAACTGGAAGGGACCTCGAGAGGTCATCGAGTCCAATTCCCTGCCCTCACGGCAGGACCAAGCACCGTCTAGCTCATCCCTGACAGGTGTCTGTTCAACCTGCTCTTAAATATCTCTAGTGATGGAGATTCCACAACCTCCCTGGGAAATTTATTCCAGTGTTTAACCCCCCTGACAGGCAAGGGCTGTGTCTAGACTGGCCAGTTTTTCCGGAAAATCAGCCACTTTTCCGGAAAAACTTGCCAGCTGTCTACACTGGCCGCTTAAATTTCTGCAAAAGCACTGACTATCTCATGTAAGAAATCAGTGCTTCTTGCGGAAATACTATGCTGCTCCCATTCGGGCAAAAGTCCTTTTGTGCAAAACGGCCAATGTAGACAGCTCAGATTTGTTTTCCACAAAAAAGCCCTGATCGCGAAAATGGCGATCGGGGCTTTTTTGCGGAAAAGCGCGTCTAGATTGGCCACGGACGCTTTTCTGCAAAAACTGCTTTTGCGGAAAAGCGCCCTGCCAATCTAGACTCACTTTTCTGAAAATGCTTTTAACGGAAAACTTTTCCGTTAAAAGCATTTCCAGAAAATCATGCCAGTCTAGACGTAGCCAGGAAGTTTTTCCTAATGTCCAACCTAAACCTCCCTTGCTGCAGTTTAAGCCCATTGCTTCTTGCCTTATCCTCAGCGGTCGAGAACAATTTTTCTCCCTCTTCCTTGTAACACCCCAAGTCTCCTTTGAAGTAACCCTGCCTTTTGTACCCCCCCTCCCAACTAGGAGGCTGAGGAATTTGCAAAGAGCAAAAGCTTAATTTTCATGGAGACGTCAGCGAAATCCAACCACCGCGTGACCGAGGTCTTTATGGCTGTAGGTAAGTTCTACAGGAAAAGCTGCTGTACCGTGAGCAGCGCTGAAGATGCCGAGGTCTGTGCTGGCTTTTTGCCTTCCGAGCCATAGCGCTTCACCTCTTGCCTCCTCCCTGATGCTCCAGGGCAGTTAGGGGTGAGATACTTGACTTGAGGAGGCCCATAGGTGCTAGGAGATAGATGATCTGAAGAGGGACCCTGTCACGAGTCGGGCTACCCCTCAGGCTTACAACCTATTCGTCATCGGGGTTAGCCACCCGTGTACTTTTCCCTCACTCGTGTTCCCCGTGCCCCAGTCCCGCTTTATGGCTAAGTTTGTGGCTCCACGGGTAGCGCACTGAGTCTTAACCTCGTTGATGAGGTGCCTCTTGCTGTGAGGTGGGAGGGGGACTCGGGCCCACCCCCCACTCCGGGTCCTGACCCAGGACCCTTAAAGGCAGCGGCACCCTAGTGCCGCCCGGTTGGTGGGGCGTTCCCCGAAACTCACCAACCCTCGGGGGTTTTTGTTCCCTGTCCTGGGTCACTTCCTCCTGGTCCTACGTGCCGGTTCCGGCTCTCAAGCCGCCTCGCCCTGGTCCTTCCGGGGTTCTCCCCGGGGATCACCTCTCTCCTCCTTTCCTGTTCCGGGCATCTTTTCAAAGGCCCGCTTCTCCTGGCCCCGCCCCCTCCCTGGGGCATGGGGTAATGACGTCAGCCGTGGGGAAGATGTCCCAGCTCCCGGCTGCCCCGGCTGCCCCGGTACACGGCTGGAGTTGTGTCCTCCTCGCCAGAGCCTTCCTCGTCCTTGGCTGGCCGGAGAATGCAAGGTGCCATGCGCTTCTCTGTGCAGGAGCCCGGCGCCCCGTCACAGACCCATAACTGCTGTTTCTCCATTTCAAACAGACAAGCCAGCACCTCCCAACCTCTGAGACAAGCAAACTATAGCACAGCTGAGTCTAGACTAACAGTGGGAATAAAGCCTTCAAACTGGCCAGAACAGTGGCTTTCAACCTTCCCAAACTACTGTATCCCTTTCAGGAGACTGATCTGTCTTGCATGCCCCTATGTTTCACCTCAGTAAGGCCATGTCTTCACTGTGGGGAATATCGATGCTGCTGTGATCGATGTTCCGGAGCTTGATTTAGCGGGTCTAGTATAGACCTGCTAAATTGAACTCAGAGGGTGCCTGCTTCTGCGAGGAATAAAGGAAACCAATGGGAGCTTCCTGCTGTAGGGGTCGGCAGAGAAACTTGAATCAAGGTACATGGACTCCAGCTACATAATTAACATAACTGGAGTTGCATACCTTGATTCAGCCGTCCCCTGTAGTGTAGATCTGGCCTCACTGTTACGTTTACATGACAGAGGTACAGTGGAATCAGTAGATGTTGTAGGGCAGGGAATGAAGAGGTAGGTGTATGGCAGAGTCCTGAGGGAGGGACCATTTTCCAGAAAGAATGAAGGAGAAATTGTGAATGGGAATTTGTTGACTAGTAAGTGCCGGAGTCTAGGCATAGGGGTCTCGAAGTGAAAAAATATGAAGTTAAAAAAGTTAAAGTGTAAACTTAAATCCCTCAACATTTCTGAATAAGAACATGCAGACGGCCAGACTGGGGCAGCCCAACGGTCCATTCAGCCCAGTTGGCCAACCGTGGCCAATGCCAGGTGCTTCAGAGGGAGTGAACAGAACAAGCGATGAAATGATCCCTCCCCTGTTGCTTATGTTTAGATATTTTAAATGATAATACATAGAAAAGGAAGAGTTCCCCAGGCCCAGCCAAATAGCGCATGAGGGACGGAGAAGGTTGTTCTTCTTTACCTGTCGCTGTTGCAGGTCCATCCTTGGCAGGAATTAAAACAGCTCTGAGGCTGCTCTAAGTTTCCCCAACAGCAACGGTAATCTAGGGATCGTTCTGCTAGTTGCAGATTGCTGTGCCCTGCCCCCCTCCCCGAGCCCACTGCGGATGGGAGGGGACACACAGCTGGGGAACCCCTAGCTGCCCCAATAGCAGCTGGAAAGTTGCCCGAAGAAAGTCAGAGTGGGGGATGAGGACGTAGTACAAAGCGATACAATGGCTGAGCGGAGAAGGTCTTATTCTGAGTTTCTGTGCAGCTTGCGAGTTATTGAAACGGGAACGACAGAAGGAACCAACACATCAGCCTCAGCCCTGGAAGAAGTCATGTGTGGATCTGCAAGAGCCAAGCAATCCAGCCAAGAGGTGCTGCAGGAGCTAAGAGAAGTGGCAGCCGGACCTACATTTGCTGTTCAGTGGGTTTTTATTTTGGGGGAGGGACAGAAAGGTGGGCCTATGCACTGAGCTGAGCAGCTTGAGTGTTGAACTGTGAGTATTGCTTTTTTAAAAATAGTCAGTGCTCGACTGAAGAGCTGTATGAGAGGAGAGATTACTGAGTGCCAGGGACCGGAAAAGCAAGTCTCCTCTGTCCTGTGTTTGCTCAGTATCACTAGGAAAGAATGTGTTGTAACATGTCTTCACGAATGAAACCAGCAAACAGGTGTCATCTCTCGGCCCTCCATCCCACCTTGCAAATTCCATTAAAAACCCCGTAGAGGCTCGTAAAGCTACAGTCCCCCAGTCGCGTCACACAAGATGTGTCCCGAATATGCGACGCGTGCGGTAGGCCCTCAAGATTTTGTCACAAGTCTCGTGACTTTGGGGGCCTTTCTTAACGCCCCCGCTGATGGAATCAAGTGATCGCTTAAGAACCTTTAAAACAAAACAGAAACTAACACTCGCTGGCTGTTGTGGCAGTGGAGAAGATGGAGAACGCGAAGCAAGCACCCCCCGAAGGCCCAGGTCGCACAGGAGGAGACCCTACGTGTTATTTAACGTCTCATGAATTTGGGACAGCGTTTAATGGTCACCGGGGCCGAGTCTAGTAACTCAGCTCGCTGGGCAAGAGGGGGACTGTGGTTATCCACTGACATAAGGCAGCGCTCTTCCACTGCGCGGCTGCATCTTGCGGCTGGTGTCTAAGTATCTTGACATTGCAAAGGTGTCAGCGGCATGCGCGTGTCTCTTCTAGCCAGATAGTCGGGAAACCTGTCCCGCTCATGTCCCTGCACCAAGATGTACAAATTCAGAGCCCGCCACTGGCATGCACAGTCCCCCATGCGCCGAGATGCTGCTGCGGGGGCCGCCTGGCCATTAGCACTGAAAAGAGCTGAAGCCAAGTGCTCTTAGCACCACGTGGAAGAAGGAGACTCTCCGGTGTCCCCTGTATTGGGGCCACGGCAACCACTCGCTCTGGGCAGGCTTGTGTCCTTGGTCACTTCATTTGAACAGCACAGCCAAAGATGTCAGGCGCTCCCAGCTCCAGGGGTGGTATTTCCCCGCAGGAGCCCGAGTGCATCGGTTCTGGGGCTGGGCAGGCTGCTCTCGTCCCTATATGCTTGGCTGACCTCTTCGCCCCCTCCCCCTACAGCGGGTGTTGTGGTGAAGGCACATTTACGGGGCAGTTCACACCACTCAGGGGCCTTGTTTCTGGCCATCTGCTGGCTCAGGCCCGGCCTACACTATGGCCTTAGCCCCTGGCGTAGCGCTGTGCCCAGGCACAGACCTGGATGTTCACTGGGACAGCTTGTTTCCCTGCGGGGGTATGTGCATGTGGGGGAGAAGCTGGACGAATCCACATGGGCATCCAAGGGCAGGCCGGACCCACCACGGCCACCCACAGTGTGACCCCAGATTAACCATTTTCTGGAGCCGAGCGGGTCAGAAGTGGGGGCCCAGGAGCTGAACCCTGGGCCTAGGTGTCTGTGCCTGGCTCGGGGAAGGGGAGCAGCCCTCTCCAGCACAGTGCTGTCACAAGCTCACAAGCCTCCCAGGCGGCTCAGGAGCAGAGGGGACATAAAGGCCCCTCAGGGGACCGGCCGGCCGCTAGCAGGCTGGACTCCAGGACACTCCGAGAAGAGGCTTTTGAGTCAGCCACTCCTGCCCTCCTGCCTCTGCCTGCTTAAATACGGGCCCTGCTCCACCCAGGTGGGAGCTGGCTGCCTCGAACTGGCTGAACGGGCTCTCTGGGGCCTGGCTCCCTTGGCAGAAAACGAGCCCCACTCCCGCCCGAGTGCGGGGCAGAGTCGCCCTCCACGGACGCCCCATCAGCTGCCTC